AAACATTAGGAAACAAGACTTCAAGACCACGGCCACACAGCCCGGAAGACCCACACCAGCCTTCCCCAAGGTAGTTGCTCATATTATTAGCTCAGTGTTTCTTTCTTGATTCTCCCCAAATTGTGCTACACTTCCAGTGTTAACCTCCTGAGCAGATTTTCTGCAGAAAAATACTGGAAAAAATGTCATGAAGCAATAGAAATACCACAGATGTTAAACAATGTCATTTGGACCCTCCTGGAATTCTGTGAAGGAGACACTGGCTCTTGCACAGCACAGGAGAAGTCCTTGGGTCATCTGCAGAAGAGGAGCTTTTCTGAGCTGCTGTGCATCTGCTTTGTGGGTTCACCAAGAGCTTTAGGCTGCAGCAGCGGCATCTCAAGTGCCAGCTACTGTGGGGCCTGGTCAGCCTCCTAAGTGGACGAGCCTGGACAGCATTCACTTGAAGAAGCTGCTGTTCTCGCTCCTTGTGCTGCAAACAGAGGAAGATAAGTCATCAGTCCTGCTTCTGTTTTGCTTTGGTCTTTGTGGTGGGGACACGGGGGTCCCTGTGTTCCGCCTGAGAGGCTCAGAAAGGGTTTGGGGTGACCAGAGCGGCAGCAGGCAGTGTGGGCAAGGCTCCCTGGCACTGACGCTGCTGGGTGGGGCTTTCTGATCTGCAGGGTTCGAAGGCTGCTCCATGGTGCCCAGCATCTACCCCTTGGAGACGCTGCACAATTGCCTCTCGCTTCGCCAGGTCAGCGATTTCCTGACGGCTCTGTCCAGGAGCTGCCACGACTCCCAGCTGAAGCCCCTCGCAGGTACCCGCAGGGACAGAGGGGAGGGGGCCTCTTGGCTGGGCGCTTTTGATTTCAGGTTTAGGTTTTCTGAAACTGAAGCAGTAAAGGGGTGGCAGATTTATTTGGCTTGGTTTCTGTTAGTATCATGCCATTGTACTACTTTTAAGACAGCTTATAGGCGTTGTATAAAACAAGTAAAAAAATCAGAAATACGGTATGTTTTCTGAAATTCTTGTATTGCTGGCTGATGGATACCGAAGGAGGAGGACATTAAAAGAGGTGCCAGGACTGAAACAAACAGTGTCATGCTTATTTAAATTGCCCCCATTAATTACTTACAGCCCCAGGGGCCTGTGAGCCCAAACAGCAAAGGCGGTCTCCAGAATTCAACCCACCAAGGGGTTGCTTTTGTTGGGCAAGTTTTACAGTCCTGCAATCTCTTTTCCTCTCCACCCCTGGAGTTGCTCAGTTTAGGCATCAGCAAAGAGAGGTTAGATATTAATGAGGATTAAGTATCTGGCAGGCCCTGGGAAATAGAGGGGAATAATGATCTCATTGGGGCTAGAGCTGGAAGTTTGTTATCTCACAGCTGGCAAGAGTAAATTGGTAGGGCTAGCTTGTCTAAGCAGCCTCTCTTCCAGGTGTTAATTGGAAAATGCAGGTCAATCCCAGGACACTGTACATAATCTAATTTCTGAGCCAACTACCAAAAGATCTTGTTGGTTTCTGTGGCTGAGCAATATTGTGGGCTGGGGAGTCAGCTAAAACTACAGTGCTAAGACCAGCATAAAAATACACCCCTGGAACGGCAGGTGGAGCATCGGGGAGTGTAATGGTGTGCACCCCGTTATGTGAACCTCCAGACCAGACTCACAAACCACTGTGGAGGGAGCAACCCCTGATTCATATCTGTATACTCCCCCCACCTTCCCATCTGTGGGGCACCCAAGGTGTGACAATCTGTGCAATTAACATTTGGTGAAACAGCTAGCATTATTCTGAGTGCAACTCAATAGGCCTATTTGAAGACCTTAAGCCTTTCCCTGAAGGGGCTGCCAGGGAGCCCCCTGCATGGCAGGGGGCTTCCCACCAGCCCTGAGCTTCCAGCAAGGAATTCACAGTAGCAGAACCCCTTCACAAATAGCTGCTGCGCACCTCACACCCCTGCCATGGCTGGGTACAGGGTGCTTTGTACCTCCACCACCTGAGGAGGACAAAGGCCTCCAGTGCCTAGGGGAGCAATCGGCTTCTTTGCCCAGCCCAGACCTCCTGGCCATTGGTCTGGGGCAGTGGCCGAGCCTGTCTGAAATAATTGGAAATGGGATGATGGTTGGCTGGCCATGGCCGTGGCCGTGGCCGTGGCCATGTTGTGTGTTTGTTTCTGTACTGGCCTCAATGCGATTTTAGCCACGCAGAGTTGCGATTTGTGAGTCGGGCAGCCACATAAGGCGAGTAAACAACTGAGCAGGATGAGGCCCCTGGGAGGTGGCTCCCCAGCTTGTCTGCTGCTTTCTGCGAGGGAGCAGAAACGGTCCTTTTTTAGGGAGGGGTTTTCCTTCTCAGTCCTGTTTGGGGTCCCAGAGAAGAGCTGGCTGATGCTGCAGCGGGGGTCCCTCCACCCCCACCCCACAGGTTGCATTTTGGAGGGTTTTTTGCTGCATGAAAGTGGCCCGGCTGAATAGTTTTGAAAGTACCAACACCTGGGTTGCTTGCAGCAGGAAGGCTTCACTGCCAAGAATGATGCTGCTGTTGTTCAAGAATAGTAATACTACTAATACTACCACTAATACTAACCATACTAATGTAAAAATAATGCATCAATATATAAGTTGCTCTTTCTTTCCTTTTCTCTTTTGGTTGTTTCTAGAAGGTCTTAGAAATGTGTTTGAGTTGCACTAAGTAGGTACTCCACTGTTTTTTTAAACAGGAAAGCTGGAACTGTTTAAACAAAATAAACGTGGTGCTAGTTGGGCTTCAGAAGATTACCTTGAGACACGGGCAAATTACTGTTCAAGAAAAAAGCAACAACAAAACTGGCATGAATAATTAAATTAATTTAAATTTAAATTTAAATTTAAATTAAAAATTAAATTGATTTAAATTTCAAGAATTTACACATTCTTGAATTTACACATTGGCACATTTTAATGTATCCATAGTTTTTTATATAAGCTGTTGCCAGGATGCTTATCTCTTATATAAACTATGAAATCCTGCCATTCATAATAAAACAGTCATTCACTGGCATGAATTAATTGATGAAGGGGAAAATAGTGTTCCCCTTTCAACATGGTTGAAAGATCAAGAGAATGCTGAAGTGTTCTCAGACCCAGAGCACAACTGGAAGAAATCTGCCCCCCAAATGAGTGGTGCCCAGACTCACTACAAAAGCCAGAGAATAAAGTGGGTGGTTGAAACCCCCAGAGAATCTCCCTGAATATTGATTCATCACGGCCAAGGCTGGTGGTTGAGACTGAGGCAGAGATCGAATCTCTTGCTCAGCCAAGCACTACTCTGCCCTCAGGGAAATGAATGTCCTCCCCTGGGGAGGTTTCTCTGGGCCAATCTGTTGAACCATGGTCTGGATCTCGCCAGGGCTTCTTTGAGTTCCTTGCAGAAAGGTTGTGGCTGCAGCACCTCACTGACCCTCTGCCAGCTGGCTACCGATGCAGTTGGATCTCCTCACCCAAGTTCTGGCAGCTCACACAGCCCTATCCATTTTTCCTGGAAAATCTCTGATCCCATGAGCCCTTCTGGCAAGAGACTCCTGGCAAGGTGATAGGACACCCCTAACACCTTCATGCTACTCAGGCAGGCAGTGATAGACATGGCTTAGCTATTAGCAACCCACCCATGGTCTTTGCTGGAGTGGCTGTGGCTGTGGCTGTGTTTCACTGAGAAAGGTTTGGGATGCATGTTTTACGATACGACTGGCTGGGTGGAGTTAGCTTTGGGATTGCTTTGGATTAAATTTAATCTCCTGCAGGTTAATTGATTGGATCAATTAAACCATTTCTAGTGTTCCCACAATACTTTTGTTATTGATCTAGGGCCACTGAGGTATCACCTTTGTTCTGGCTGGCAGCAAGATACTTTGAGCCAGCTGGACCAAGGAGGCAAATGCTCCAAGAATCTTTGTTTACCTGCCCAGATTTTGATAATGCAAGAGTACCTGCACTGAAAATGGCAAAAATCACAGATATATTTTAAGAAAGTCACAGCAGTCTGCTGAAGGATAGTTATTAATTTTAATTTTAATTTTAATTTTAATTTTAATTTTAATTTTAATTTTAATTTTAATTTTAATTGTACGCCACCCAGAGTCACTTGTTGTGAGATGGGCGGCCATATAAATTTGATAAATAAAAATAAATAAAAATTGTACGCCACCCAGAGTCACTTGTTGTGAGATGGGCGGCCATATAAATTTGATAAATAAAAATAAATAAAAATTGTACGCCACCCAGAGTCACTTGTTGTGAGATGGGCGGCCATATAAATTTGATAAATAAAAATAAATAAAAATTGTACGCCACCCAGAGTCACTTGTTGTGAGATGGGCGGCCATATAAATTTGATAAATAAAAATAAATAAACTTGTGGAGAGTCAAAATAAATTCCATGCATCCTAAATTATGACACTGAATAATGTTGGTTGCAGCAGTGGTAGAATAGCCCCTTTCCGCCATCTCCCCCTAGAGGGGTTCTCGGACTGCTGCATGGGCAGCCTATCGGAAAGCGAGAGCAAGGCCAGCTCAGGTTCTGGCAAGGCCTTTGGCAGGAGGGGCAGACAAGCAACCCAGACTCCCTGGGGCATCATCAAGCCAAACCACTCCCGCATTTTAGTCAGGAGGGAGATGGTGCCAGCTACTGCAAGCCCTTAAAGCCCTTGTCCCCTTGGATTCCCTAGGCCGAGGGATGCCTTGATGCCCAGGCAATTGGACCACCCAGGAAGTGGGTGGTTGTAGCCGTAGCTGCCAAAAGGATGCTGGAGGATGGAAGGGGAAGGCTTTGTGGTGGCAGGAAATCCAGACTGAGAGATGGGCCTGCTTGGGTGGTGCTAACCCTAACCCTAACCCAGTGGGCAGTGGCTGGCTCAGGGAACTGACGGGTTTGCAACATTGCCAGGATTCCAGCAGGGGGCATGTTTTGCACCTGTGGGCACTTGGGGGGCAGCCAGTACAGTGGCAGGAAGCCAGGCTGCTTGTGCCAGAGTGCAGTGGACCTTCCCTGCCACGGCAACTCAGTACTTTGATCCTTTCTGGCTGAAGGTGCTGCGCAGACAGCTGCTGTACTGGGATTCTGGGCGTTGGCGTGGTTGCCAGGGATTTGCCCAAGCTGCTTGTGACAGTCTTCCTTACGTTTATCTTGCAGACGGCAGCAGCCCGTCCAGTACGGCCGCCGGTAAAGGCCCCACAGAATCCTTGACCTCTTCAGCAAGCTGCTTCTACGAGGACCAGGTCACCGACCAGCCCTCTGGGAAGGAACTGCTCAACACTGAAGAAGGGAGCCTGCAGGGCTTCACCTCTTGGGGGGAGCTCCTGGCAGTGAGCGAGGAAGAAGTGGGGCCGGAGCAGGGACGGTTGGAGGAGGCCCTGGCCGAGAGAGAAGAGCAGCGGGCGATGCCCCAGTCAGAGGCGAGAGAGGGGAGGCCATGGGGACTGTGGGACCTGGACCCGGACCCAGACGAGCTGAGCAGAGAGGAGGTGTGAAGGCCCTCTAAGCCAGAGGTTCTGGGGACCTTAGTTGGGAAGAAGGGTGGGGGAGCGCCTTCTGCTCCTCCGCAGAGGTCTTGGGAGGCAGCAATTCAGCCAGCAAAAGCCTCAGTCCAGGAGCCCCTTGGATTGCCTGCTGACCACGGTCCACGCCGCCCCAGCTGGAGCTGAGGAAGCTTCAGGATGAGCCAGGTGGATCACATGCTCTGGGTTTTCCATGTGGTGTCAGTGAGGCTGCTTGAAACAGTCATCAAGATGGCTTCTGATGGGTCTGGGATGGTGTAGAAAGTGGACTGGCCTCCCTGTATCCCAAATTCCAACTTTGCTGGAACCACCAAGAGAATCAAGTTTTCTTAGAAATACATGAGTGAGTTGCCAATGGTGTTTAGCAAGTGCAAATTGTAATATATTCTTTGCATTAAGGGCGGGGGGGAGGAAGGGGGTCCAGATGTCATGTCCAAAATGTCTGGTTAAGATTTGTTTTTTTGTGTTTCCCTCATTATGAATCGTGACACTGTCCCTAAAGTCATTCTGTATCTTCAAGCTGTAGTAAAACACACTAGGCACCTGGTTTCACCCTTATTCCCTGCCTGGACTGACAACTGAAGTGTGGTTAGAGAGGGAGGAAAGTCAAGGTCTTGTTCCTCCAGAGAGCTGGGATGGCGACATGGAAAAGGGTGCCCTTTGCAAGGGGGTTTCCTGGGCTGGAGCAGTTTGTCTTAAAGAAGCTGGAGGAGCCCAGGAAAGCTGGTGTGTGTGTGAATGGAGCAAAGCTTTGCCTGGAGCTTGCCAAGAGGCTTTCTGAATTCTAAAAATTTCCTGCCAAAGTGTCCTTAGAAGGAGGACACGGTTGACGCCTGCCGCTTCCCACTTTGCTCAGACTTGTTCACAAGAACCCCAGGAAACAGGCACTAGAAAGCTGAACTCTGTAGCTTGCATTCCCTGAAAATGGAGGGTCTGTCGCTCAGCCTGGAAACTGGTAAGACACCCTTGTGAGAATGCCCACTACAGACTTTGACAGTTCTGGATGTGCCCCAGAAGTTTGCCTACTCCATTACAGGAGAGCAAGTCCTTGCTGACATTTAGGAGTTGTTCTGAGGATGCTCACAAGGACGGGTCTAGGACTGGTCCAGTAGAGATGATCTAAGGACTTGGCTATCAAGCAGCTTTTCCACATCCTTCATAATTGCTCCGCAGAGAAGGAGTATAAATCAGTCCTCAAAGGGAAAGGAAGAGGCAGGCGTATTCCGAATGAGGAGGCAGGTAGATGAGGGAGAGCCAACTCGCTCCAGGGAGCTCCAACTTGGAGGAATGAGCAACAGAAGGCAAAACAGCTTCTGTCTGAATGAATGACCGACGACAATGTTCTCTGCAGTGGCTCAAAATGGTTCCAGATGGATGGCTTCTCCATGGCCCGGTGTGGTAATTTTGGTGGTGCTTTTTTAGAAGCAGAAAAAAGAGAGAAAACAGTGGGAAATACAAGAGAGTTAAAAGTGGATTGCCATAACCTTCCATGGTTAAGCTGTGGCAACAGCAGTGGCACCTCTCTGGAGGGAGCCTTAGGGACTGCTGATCTGAGATTTGTGGGACATTTGTGGGTGTTGGAATGTCTCAGTTCGAGAGCTACGTCGCAGCATTCTTTCCACAGCTGCAAGGCAAGGGAGCTCCCCATTGGCAGAACTTCTGGCCTTGTCCCATCTTCTGTGTCTGCATCTGAGATTCCCTGTTGAGGCTTCTTCCAATTCCCCCCATCAAGCAGACAGTGGGTGAGCTTTTTAACCTTTTCTTGCTGAAAAAACAAATACAGCTGGGTGAAGAGTGAAGGGCAGAGGGCACCCCCTGTTTTGATTGCTCCCCAGTGCCTGGCTGGAGGGAGTTCTAGCTGACAAAGCAAGGAGACTTTATGGACAAGAATACCACTGTGTGTTTGGATGACAGTTTAGAAAGTTAGGGTGGGAACACCCTCAGGGATAAGAAATAAAAGGCAGTCCACACTAGGGCTTGCTAGGAAGAGTAGCATGAAGTGTTGAAATCTCTGATGGAGCTGGAGAAAGTGTAGAAACAACCAAAATACAAAAGCACCGTGTTGAGATCTTTCCAGTTGGGTTCATGCAACTGAAGGGGGGATATGGGGTGGGCAGATCATGCACAATAATGAAGAAAGGATACCCTCATTCTAAAAGCTGGGATTACTCAGAGCTCTTCTACACAGCTCCACTTTCACTCCAGCAGATCCACAAAAGATTTCTGCTTTGCCCTGGGGATGTCCTTTGCTGCCCCCATCTCAGTTCTCCCCGGGAGTCAACCAGCACTTCTAGCTGGCCTCGTTGCTGCCCTGCTGCGTTTGTGTGCACAGCAAAGGGGAGGGAAAGCAATCATTCTGCTTTAAAAAGAAGCATGAAATGGTGCCGAGGCTTCACACTACCTGGATTTCAGCAGCAGCAGGAGGTGGGATGAGGCAATGGCAAGGTTAATCCTACAGTTTTGCTTCCTGTGTCACAGCCCTGATGCTCAGGCTGTGAGAACCAACCTCAGAGGAGTGCCAGGACTGCGTGTGGAGGGGAACTGATTCTGGGTAAAGAGAAAAATGCTTACACAGTGAATGTCTATGAAGCCCTCCAGGATCAAAGGCAGGGTAGTACAGTCCCAGTTGTTGGACTTGGGATCAAAAATAGAGCCAGGCCACCTGTCTGATCATGTGGGCTGCAGGATGCTGAACTGCCCAGAATGTTGCCTGGAAAATCCTTCATTTATTTTACTTTACCAGGCTTATATCCTGCTTGAACTGAAGCAGTCCAGCATGCATGCAACATGCACTCTAAATTCTGAAGTATGTGTGGCAATGCTTGCGTTGTGCTGGTCCCCAGATCTCTGAATTCATCTTTGTGGGCTGGGGGCTTGAAGTTCTGAATGATAGTTGAGGCTGGAAGATAGAAGAAGCAGGTTGGCTTGGGGAAGGGCTTATGCTCATCCCCACAGGCCAGGCAAGGGCCCATGGCGAGGCCTTAGCCTTCCAGATGAATCCAGTGGTTTTCTTCAAGGAATCTGCAGGCGAGGTTGGAGGCGGGCCCTGCAGCCAAGGCAACTCCTCCCAGACAGAGGGCATCTGCATGGAGAGACCTGGGCCAGGTGGGTTGGAAAGCAAGGAGGTTTCCCGCGCCTCACAGTTTGCCTTGAACAGAACGGGAAAGGACCCTAAGGGCCACACCAGCCTCTTGCCTTGCACCGTGGACAGCTACGTGCATTCAAAATGATGGCAGATACATGGACTGCGGATTGATCCCCCCTTCCTCTTACTATTCCACAAGACCTGGGTTGCCGCCTGCCAGGCTGCACCCAAAGGTCCTCTCTGTGAAGCCCACTTTATCTTGGGTGTTTTATAATCTCCTTTTCCAATCTCTAACTCGGCAGAATTGGCAACTCTGGTGGCCGTGAGTTCCTCAGAATAACTGTGTAGTTGGAGAGAGATTCTGTGTAATCTCTGTGAGAGAATGTCATCCAGCTATTCCACCAGCAGCAGCTAAAGCGAAAGAGAACAGCAGCTACTGCAGCACAAAGAAATGCTGGAAATGCCCCCCACCCAGAAAGCTGGAAGTGCGCTTGGTAGCCACACATTTCCCCTCTCCTTCCCAGCACGCATCACCACCAAAGCAGCAGCACGCAGCAGCACCACTCCTTCTGTGTTGCTCTTCCCCCTCCACCGCCCCGCAGCCATTGGCTGAATTTGTACAACCCGAGTCTGGCGTGCAGGCCAGCGTGTCATGGGAACCCAGGCATTGCCTCAGCATATCGCATGGACAAGATCAAGATGGTGAACTGTACTGTGGTTGGTTAGGGGCACAGCACACTTGTGACCCATCATCTTCCCTCTGTTTTAGAGTTAGCGTGCTGAGCAAGGCCAGCCAATGACTGGCTTGAGATAAGATCACGGCTGCTTTTCAGCCATTCTTGTGGCCAAGAGTACGAGGGAGCCACCATCACACAGAGGCGTTGCTGGGGGCAAGGGATGGCCAGAGGCAAGCATCTCTCTTGACCTTCCAGTCACCAGCGTCGGAGGGAGAGCCACACGCAGGTCATGTGGTTAATGTAGCTTTATTGGTTAGTGCAGACCCATTCCTTTGCGATTATTAGCATTACAGCATATTGCACACAGAAATGAAGGTGGGGAAGACGTTGGAGGGGAAATATATCTAATAAGGAACAAAAGGGGCAGAGGAAAACTGTGCTGTTTAGACTACACTTCTACTACACTCAGCAGAGATGTCACTTCTGTTTCTTTGCAACAGTGCCAAATAAATAATATGAACAGGAGTACTCATGAACTAGTTGCCACATGCAGGAACAGCAGAAGCAGTATTTTTCTCCTTGGATTGCCAAAGGCCAAATTGTGTTCTCATGGGCTAATGATATTATTAACAACAATTTTTACAAATCTTGCCATAAAATGGGAAGGAGGAGGCTGCTGAAGCTTGCTTCAAAACTACAAAATATTTGGAAAGACTCTTAGGCAGGGCTGGAGGAGGAGGAGGAGGAGGAGGAGGAGGA